GTCCCAATGGGGGGGATTTATAGTTAGCATACCTTACATTGGTCTTCACACTTTTACTTTATGTTGAAGGAATTATCTGACACACAGCTGGGTCATCACTGGGAATTGCAGAAGTGTTTTTTGAGGTGAGGCTCTGATCTTATGTTATTTTAGTTTTTAATGTGGGAATTTCTGGTGTATGATTTTGTGTTTTTATTAAAAGTGAACTGCAAAATAAAATGATTCTGTCCTTTCATATTTTTGTATAATATATAGACTGGATAAACTTTGATTTTGCTTTTCCTTTATAAATAGTAAAAATGTTAGTCTCAAGAAACTGCAATTTGAGTTGAAGTTGTCCCCCTATAACATATATATGAAAGTGAAGAGGTGCTAATTCAAAAATAGCATAAGACACAACATCTACTATCCTCTCAAGATGTGTCTATGTTAAAATCAGCTGAAGAAAATGAGCATCTTTCTAATATCTTTGGATCTGGCATATGGGGACTAAAGTGAGGCCCCAAAGTATCCAATATTAAAAACAAGTCAAGCAATGTAAAATAAATAAATACATAAATAAAAGAAAATGAACAAATACTAAAATTGGAGGCAGTCTTTCTAAATCCAAAAGGAATAGTCAAGAGCACAGAGCCAAACTTTTACTTTTCATCTTCAAAATAAGAATACACAATCTTAATTATTCTCTGTTTCCTATATACATAAACTTGTTGACTTTTCATAAAGAGCATTATACAAGTTAGAATCTTATTAGAAGACAATAATGATTATTATTATTTAATGTTCTCCGTGGTATTCAGAACGAGAAGGAAAGAAGCAGGTATATTTGTTTTGTTTCCCAGTTCTGGAAAAATATTACAGTGAGGATGTAGTATAAGATGCTAACTAGAAATAGAAGGGGTTTTTTTTTTAACTGTGTGTAAGAGAAGATTGTCTGCAATTGTGTATATTTTTTATTTAGGGAATCTTGGCAGTGTTGCATGTTTTTTCTTCACATTGGGCTTATTTCATATTATTTTGTATATAATTTCATTGTTTTAGATTTTTTTTGTATAAATATTCAAAAATTATTACTACAAAGGTTATTTTTTTAAATAATGGATTCCACTTTACTTTTGCATAATTACTATCACATCAACCCTGACATACTTCCCAGAAGTAGAGTTTATTTGTTAAACTGGTTCCTTGTTACAATACAATCAGACTTGTTGTAGTTTCATTATCATTTTCTTTCTGCAGTACAGGTCTTAAAAACCTATCTTGTACTAGAGACTCATTTGACTAATTAGAGGGATATATTGTTCATAACTATAATTTCTTTGAGTCTGCAGCCTGTAATTTATATGTAGTTTAATTTGAAGTAGACATTTGGGTTTCTTCTCTTTTTCTGCACCATTATTAAATATAAAATTGTCCCACAGGTTTAGATACCATTCCTTAAATAGGACCATACCACAGTGTGTTTTCTTTACAAAATAGCCTTGTTTGCTGTTATAGTTATAGTGTTTATTTATCCGATTTGCTATAAATAGCTGTATTCACCCACTCACTCCTATAGCTCCATCACAATAGCACCACTGTTGTTTTAACTTTTGACTATTAGAACTGGGCACTTTATCCCACTCTTAGATAAAGTAATTGCCAAATTATAAAAGGCCTTTCCTTATTTTCTATGGGCATTTTTAAAGATATCTGATTTTGCTGTCCTATATTTTAGAATATCTCTCTTTTCTTCAATTGTAAGGTTTTTTTATTTTGTTGAAGGAATGTTTAAATTTAGACTTAGACTGGAACTGGTGAAAATGGCTAATGTATGTTCATTTGGTTGTGGTTTATGTTTGCTTTGCAAAGTTTATTCATTTGTCCACAACGGTCAAACATGACTTGGAATGATCAGTTGCCAAATTATTTTCCAGGCTTCAGATTTATGCTATTTATTTGAAATGAAGACTTGAGTTTTGGTGGAAAATTCAGTACTTAATGAGAGGCATTGTATTAGATAATTATATTTTTCGGTGTAATTAAAAAATAACAACTATAACTATCAAAGAAAGAGAAATGAAAAGCCATCCATTCCTTTATAAAGAAAATTATGTCTTATGAGGAATAGTAATATAATATACTAAGGGTGAAATTATGACTCCATTGAAATTTATGGGATTTTTGCCATTGACTGAAATGGGACCAGGATTTCGCCATAGGACAACACAGAAAAACACTGGGATCAGGGAAGAGGTTAATGTAATGTGGTGAATGAGGGAAGGGAATTAGAAATATAAAATATGAAAGCAATGTCCAGTACCTAGCACAATGGATTCCTGGCCTGTGACTAGGGCTTCTAAAGTAATAAGTAAAAAAATAATGTGATTTGAGTAAAGACCTGGATCTCATTTCTGCTTCTGCCACTGACCATGGCCAAGAGAAATAACTTCTTTGCATCACATTTTTGCATTTAAAATGGCAATGAGACTGACGTACCCACCTTTGAGATCCTATCATGAAAAAAATTGTACAAATACAAACATTATTTATTATGGAATTTGTTTATCTGTAAAAATGGTAATGTAAAGAGCTATAACACAGATGAACTTGAAGAGATTAACAGGTTAGACTATATTGCATTAATAAATTTGGGACTGATCCTGCAAACCTTCTTACATGAATAATATTTACTTATGGGGCTAGTTTCATTGCTAGAAATCTAGGGAATGCGTCCTCTCTTCCGCTTTTTTTTGTGGAAGAGTAGATGAACTCTTTCAAAAGCTTTATCTTCCTCCTCCCACGAGGAAGAAGGGCTCTTTTGAAAGAAGAGGCTTTTCCGAAATTTGGCCCAGTTTAGACGGGCCAAATTTCAGAAAAGCTTCTTCCGAAAAAACTATTGGAAAAAGGTACGCAAATTGCAGAGTGCAATTTGCATACCTTTTTCCGATAGATCATTGTAGTGTAGACATAGCCTAAGAGAATGAATGAGGGACTATTCAGCCTTTGTAGAAGGACCTTATGGCAACAAAACTTATGAGAAATAGTGAAAGAACTTCAGATTTCTTACAGGTATTGTCCTATTGCAACCCAGGTTCCTGCCATCTCTTTAAATAACTCCCTGCTGACTTTTGCTGCAGCTCAGCCAGCTTTTGCAGGAGCTGTGCACCAGGGAGAACCCACTTGTTTTCACCGCTGCTAATGAATGAGATTTACTACACAGGGAGGGGCTGGATTTTCAAGAACAGACCTAGATTTTCATGAGAGACTTTAGGCGTCACATAATTTAAAGAAACTATTGCCTTGTTATGGTTGAAGTTAGGGTTCTGAGCCTTGGAGACACAGCCTTCCAGAGTCTCTCAGCAAGAGCTGATCTATTTAATTACATCACTAAGGCCTTTGTAAATTTATCTGAATTTAAGAAATGATTATAAATATTTCCTTTATACCTCAGAGCTTCAAAGCTTATCCTATTAAGAAAAAGTAGCTAATTGGTGGATAGTTTATTTATATCATTCTAGGCCTTGTAGTACTAGTCATGGTCACTGCACCAATCAAACGAGAGAGCATCAAAATTGGTGGGTAGCCCAAGTGACTAAGAATGTTAGCCCATAGCTAAGAAAGTTAAAGAAAATCAAACAAGGGGTTCTGTCTGATTGCTCCTCCTTCTTCAGCATCCGGCAACAAATTCCCCATGCTGGACCCATTAGACTCCAACATATCCGTTAGGGATGTGCAGGATGATAATACAGAAAAGGTCTTCTACAAAAATGACAAGCTTGCAAATGAGCAGTTGAGAGTCACCATTTATGAATTTTACATTTCCAGAACATCCGTAGAATGAATCTCATGGCTACAGTCCGATAAAGTAGTTCCCTATGGAATCTCACTAGCTTCTTTCTAAGTCAATTATTGCCATCTAAACCCTTAATGACTTTGCTCAGGATTTCATTAAATTAGAAGCAAATTTAATTAGCTGGTTGGTGTTACCAGGAGGGCCCTGTAGTTCTGTCTGGATTAAAGATTTCACTGATAAGATGAAATTGATGTCTCCACCTTTCAAGGGCACCTGGCATTTAAGGGACATAAATGCTGCTAGACTCTGTTCAAAATGAATTATCAGAATACAGAGTCAGACTTTTAGAAGATGCCTTCTCTATCTCTTTATAGTTCCTTTGGGCACTCATGGCCTAATTTGTCAATGTAAAGTGTCCTGTAAGGGACAGTCAAAACTCAGTCCTCCTCCAAGTTCTTTTCATAAGTCAGGATAAGATGCTCAACTATCCACTCAGTTCAAGCAGACGGGTAACACAATCCACTTCTTCCTCCAGCTCATTCTTAACAGGAGGTAGGAGGTTCAGAGTCAGTACAGAATGGGTGGTTTCTTTTTTACATCAGGAAAGTGTTGTTTTCTTTCTGAAAGCATTCCCTTCTCTCCCCTATTGCTCCTAGCCCCAGAATAATCTCCTTCTGCAATAAAGGTTTTCTTCCTAGGTATTCAACATCTCCTAAAATAGTGCTTTAGAGAGAACTTTGAGAGCAAGAATTTATTATTGTTTATTCCAGATCTATTAGATTTGAAATGGCTGGACTAGTTAATATATATTTCAAGTAAATATGGTAAAGAGGCTCAGCCTTGTGGGCTATATAAAATGTGTGGGGGGGGGTTCAGATTAAATGTGCTATGATTTTTCAGTGAAGAGGAGGGTAGCCTCTTCTTATGAGAAAATGAGAGGAAGTGGCCCCTTCCCTCAGAGGAATGGAAGTTACAGAGGCTAAGAGGGATGTGGAGGGACAGAGGCAGGCAGAAGCAAGCCTAAGAGAGTCCTACAGTGAACTGAGAAAGGCAGGGGATGGGGAATGGGGGGAAAAAAGGAAACCAGCCTGGGAAAAAGAAAACAAACTGAGAATATG